GAAAATTAAAATCTAGTTTTGTGTTGGATATTGGACATTTACTTTTATTAAAGAAATTCTCCTAAAATTTCACTTCATGATTTACCTACAGGTCCAAATTTAAAAGAATAATGAGTATAGTTTTTGTGGGCTAATTGCCAAGATTCTTCATATTGTTATTTTCCACTAGAAATTTTTGTGAAAATGACCTTCTTACCTTCCTCTTTCCATACAAAAAGTTTAAAATTTTTCCCTTCAGTAGTTTTCCAGGAAAACGTTGAAATGTGTGAGACGTATTTTCAACTATGTACAGGGTGTTTTTTTTATATATTGATAGCCCACTTACAGCCTTTTGAAAAAGCTAAAAGCATCCAACATATTATATTTGTGAAATTCAATTTTATTTTCTAAAAATATAGCCAGTACTGTACAACTTTTGTATTAACACCTTTCATCTACTTGTAAAGGGGAAGGCTGTAGGTGGGGTGTCAATACTTAAAAAAACACTCTGTACTTGAACAATAATTTATTATATAAAGTCAGAATTTGTAAGATTATCCACTTTTTGTCAATTTGCCTTTTAACAGAAATAAGTAACGTTAGCTTACCAAACTAGTAATATAATGTGACAAGTTATTCAAGTACAAATGAGTGAATTGTTGCGGAACTTATAGGTGGACCTCTGCCGGACGAGCGCAGCGAGTTCCGCAGCCATCTATTCATTAATATTTTGTTTAATTACGATACTTACCTGTCTCACTCAGTTATTCTCATTAGTTTAAAAACTACATGTTTCAGGTGAATGTCTTAATTGAACAGTTCAACAGTATATTAGTGAGTAGAGGTCCACCCATAAGTTCCACAACAATCCACTTATTTCTACTTGAACAATAACTTATTATATAAAGTCACAATTTGTAAGATTATCCTGAGGAATATCCACTTTTTGTCAATTTACCTTTCCACAGGAATTATTAATGTTACTTTATCAAACTGGTAACATAATGTGACAAGTTATTCAAGTACGAGCATGAGTGGATTGTTGTGGAAGTCATAGGTGGACCTCTGCGGGACGAGCGCAGCGAGTTCCGCAGCCATCTACTCACCAATATACTGTTGAACTGTGCAAATAAGACACTCACCTGAAACGTGTAGTTTTTGAACTAATGGAATTTGCCTATTTCTTCTTGGTCCATGATGAATGTTGGAATTTCGTCCTGATCTGTTGGTTATGAAATTGGGTAGCGACTCGTGCAATCTGCGTCTTTGTGGGCTACATCTTTTTTGTGAATTATTGTATAATCGAACTCCGATAACTTGATACTCCACCTTGCCAGTCTTCCCGTTGGGTCTTTGAGTGATTTCAACCAACAAAGTGCGTGGTGATCGCTAACGATTCTCACCGGTTTCCCGTAAATTAAATGCCGTAAATATTGTAACGCCCCTTTCTGCTTTTGGCAGGCTACCACTCGCATAAGCTACTGGGTGTAATTTACTATCGCTATCCTCCTGCAGTTAAATTGCTCCGATGCCTTCAGTGCATGCGTCAACTCTTAACTCGCAGCCTTTATTTGGTTGATAATGAGCAAGCACGGCGTTGTAATTAATTTATCTCGAAAGCCATTTTTTGGGCTTCCTCCCATGTAAAAAATCCTGTAGCCTTTCTAGTTATATTATGTAAGGGTTGTGCCGAGGGTTGTGCTATAAACGAAAAATTTCCAATACATTTTCTGTAATAATTACACAGACCTAGGAAGCTTTGGACGTCTTTAACGCTTTTAGGCTGTGGAAAATTTTTCACCGCGACCATTTTTTTTCTCGTTTGGGAGTAGTCTTCGAAACCGTATACCTATCCTAAAATATCTATTTTTCCCTGTATGTACTTGTACTTTGTTGGCTTCAATGTTAATCCGGCCTCATAGGTCTATAAAATACCCTACGTAACTTGATTATATGCTCCTCGAGTGTCTCTGAGAATATTATAGTATCATCTAAATATACCAAAATCTCCTTCCACTTCACGTCGTGAAAAACTTTGTCGGCCAAGGACTGAAACGTGGCAGGAGCATTGCAAAGACCGAAGCATAGTACGTTGAATTCATATAATCCATGACCCTGGCATTGAAACGCTGTGTATTTCTCCGAGTCTTCTCTAATTTTAATTTGCCAAAAACCACTAAATATGTCCAAAGAGGAGAAATACCGTGCGTTCCCTAGATACGTTAAAATATCGGCTTGGACGAATTATTCCATATTTGATTTGCTCGTTGATGATTTCTCTCTCTTTTTGGGACACCCTATACGCCCTTTATTTTATTGGACTGGAATAAGGCCTCGAGTTGCTGCCTAATCGTCTCTGTGCCTTATACTGTGGTCCCTTATTGTAACTTTTTCATCGTCCTCGTCCTCCTCCACGAACATTACTGGGTAGTTTTTTAAGTTTTGCCCTGATTTTTCTTGTAAATATCCTATGGTGTACAATTTTGCACCGTAAGGCTTTTTCGTTACTACGTTCTCAACGTAGTGTTCTCTCATTAGATATGGGGGTTTTAGACAGAGTACACCATTCGATCTCAGTGTGCGGTCGCATTCGACAAGGTCTTGTAGGGGTTTCTCTTTCATTTTCACCTGGTGGTTTTATGTCCACTTTTATCGTGGCAGGTTGGTTGGGACTGAAAATACAATCCTCGCCCGCACAGATTTTTAATATACCATCCTGGGATTCAGTTCTGTGTGAGAGCACAACTATTTGCCTTTCATGAACAGTTTTTGCATTTTCAAAATCTAAGGCCAGAGTCAATTATCGCATTATATTTTTTTTAACAGGAAATCCATGCCTAAAATTAAGGGTTTCAGGAGCTTTTCTATTACTAATGGCTCTATATATCCTGCTATCTTCCCTATTGTGATTTTAGCCTCCGAGATCCTCAAGGGGGAAATTCTATTGCTACCTACGGTCACCAAAGAGATCCCCTCATTTGACGGTATGATTTTGTCAATCAACGATTTTTCAATTATACATCGACTTGATCCAGTCTCTAAGACTACGTTAGGCCGGTTGTTCACCAGCCCCTTTATCTTTGAAATTTTATGTGCAGCCTCTATCTGTTGGGACTATCTAGTGGAGTCGCCCTTGGTCGTTTGAGGCCGGCGAATTATCTCTGGAAAAAGAAACTCTTCGTTGTTGGCCGTAATTTTGGAACGTCTTGTCATATTTCTAATGTCCATTTTCACCGCAATCTCGACATCTTAGTTTGCTGTCGTGGTTTCTTGTTTGTGGAAATTGTCTTATTCTTTTGGTTGGTGGTAGTTTGGGTTGAAGCTCCTTTGGTATCGGTCCCGATCGTTTGATTTGTCTCTGTGGTATCCCCTATTCCTATTGTAAGGCCTTCTTAGTTCGTACTCTTTTTTGTACTCATAACTTCCCTCAAAACTTTTAAAATTTCTGTCATTTGTTGTATCAAAGTGCGTTCCTTTACCTCGCTTAATTTCAGGACCAACGTTCTCAATTTGGCGTAGTCTATCGTTCCTGAACTCATGAGGTAGTAAGTTCCGTAGAACGATGAGTGAAGATCATTCTCGAAATGGTCACTGAAAGTCTCGAAGGGCATTTTACGGTCTATCTCATAAGCTAGGGCGTATAATTCGAATCTTGATATCCTCGTTTTCCTGTTGTCTTCTCGTATTCAACCTGAACTTCAATTTTCTTAGCGATTGTTCTCCGCTAAACTCTTTCGAGAAGTCTGTTTTTATATTTTCCCATGTTCGGTTTTGATTTGCCTGGCTTGATTTATGTGCTGAAAACCAGCTATTTGCGGCGCTTTCTAAGAAACATCCAAAATGAGATATTGTAGGAGTTCGACCAGCCACTCACTCAAGGCTGCTGCTCTTTCATATTTGCTCAGAAAATTAATTGGGGAATATAAACTTGGGTTGAAAGTCGGTGGTTCCATGAATTTAGGGGTTGCGGGACTTTTGGCTTCTAACAAAGCGTCCTGGATTGTTGCTTTTGCCATTTTCCGGTTTCTTCCTGACTCCGGATTTATTAATATATCGGACTTCTGTTATTTGCTCTTTAACTCCTGGTCTGAAGTTGCTTCGATTTTTTCGACCGATACATCGGCTGTTTTGAGACTATCACTGTTAAGTCTGGCTGGGAAAAAGGTTTTTAATTTCTGTTGCTTATTTATTACTGAATTAAACTTCTACGAATATTTTATGCTCGGAACTTTCACTCGGTGGGCTTCTGCGCTTCTGACTAATGTAGATGATGGGGTGAGAGTGTCAACCACCGTGCTTTAGTATGTAGAGTTGAAATTAATTTTCTCGATGCTATCGCTTCTTTCCTGTTTTTCCGAATGCGATCTTGCTTTACTACGTGTGACTCTGTACTCTGTCTGCATCACTTCCACTCATTAGCAATTAATAAAAAGGTCTCTTCTGTCCGGACTTATTCTCCTCAGTCATGTATGTTAAGACCTTTTAAGACGATATGAGGTCCAAAAGATAAAAATGTAACCGCAATTTTTTTTTATAAATCAGGGAAATTATATAGAAATGCAGTTCAAAAATATGTTGTTTAATTACTATACTAACATGACTCAATCAAATGTGAGTTATTCTCATTAGTTTAAAAGCTACATGTTTCAGGTGAATGTCTTACTTGATTGAACAGTTCAACAATGTATTGGTGAGTAGATGGCTGCGGAACTCGCTGCGCTCGTCCCGCAGAGGTTCACCCATAAGTTCCACAACAATCCACTTATTTGTTTTAAAATTTTCTCTTAATTAGTTGTCCAAGAAAACTTTGAATTGTGTGAGATTGTATTTTCAATTCTTATATAGTTCAGAGTTCAGCTCTGTAAAACACGAGCCTGGAACAATTAGAATTTGCTCTTGCTCTAATTTTAAGAAATATTCCTCTTATAAGTCTATAGTTTTTTTTTGTAATGGGCCAATCAAGAGCCTGGAATAATTAAAACTTGCACCAATTCAATCTAAACAATCTACCAACATTTTAGGCTCTATGTACCTCGCCCAAAGGACCAAAACGACGTGCCAAAGCTCAAATCAACAAAAACCATAGACACTCGCACTTTTACCCGTCCAAAAAAGAAATATACCAGACTAAGTGTCAACGATATTGAACAAATGTTGACCGAAGGCAATGAAATGATTAGCTCCTTTGAAGAACCTTCAAAGCCCTTACAATTCGATTTAAGTCAACCTACAAGTCACAATTTTGATAGTTTCATACTTAGCGCGGATGCGGACTCGTTTCAAAACATGTCTCCACCTAGTTTGGTCAACTCCCTTTGCTCATCCACGTTTGCTAACCTAATGGAAAACAGCTTTATAAAAAATGATCCAGTTTTGAGAGAAATACGTGATAAGGACTTTACAGAAACTGCTTTGCTGCAAGACATTGAAGCCCCAATGTTTCAAAGCATTACAGAAAGTTGTAGCAGCTTGAATTCTGATAGTCCAGAGAGTTTTGTTAAAAGAGTTAGTGGAAGAAATAATATTATGTCTGATACAATTACAATAATTGATTCAAGTAATGACAATAAAAATGCTACTTATTGTATGGACAATACAATTACTACGAATCTCAATGGGACTTATAGACGCACCCCAAAACATAATGGCACATTTAGGAAAAGCGATTTTAAAAATAATAGATTGAGTCTCAAAGAATCTGTACCAGAAAGAAGATTGTCATCTTCAGAAGAAGGAAGCTCTGATCTGAATACTTTACAAACAAAGGAGGAAACTAAAAAGTCTTCCTTAGGTTCAGCTGACAGTTTAGATAGAATGAGCAGTCTATCTAGTAGCAGTAAAGGTTCGAATAAGGTACTGAGCATGGAAGATGTTCAAGTCATTGTAGAGATGCAAGAGAGAAGTAAGTAATTTGTAGTTTTTGACAAAGGTTGTTTTCCACTAATTTTGACCCACTGTATCGATTAATCTACCATTACGAAGTCAATAATTAATATAATCATGCAATAATCTTGAATTAATATAATAAAACCTAATTTCAGCTTGAACCTAACTCACAAAAGTCAAAATATATTATAAGGAGCACTCCACTATTAATACTTGTAGTTATTGATACATTTTTGTTTTAAGGCTTGATGTCAACCCCAAAAGCCCCAATACGCACCAAAAAACTATGGGAAACAAACTTTATTTCGCCAATAGTTGCCTCCAACAAGGAAGCCTTATCCGATTCTGAGGATTATAAACCAAAAAATCTCCCTTTAAAAAGCGTACCGAACAAAATACGTGCCTCCTACAGCAATATAAGTACCCTTAAAACTACAGCTTTGGGCGGGTCCCATCAAAACCTCTACAGACCGAGCAATTTGAAAACAATGGGTACCAAATTGAAAGGGTCTTATACTAGCTTAAGGCCTATTAGTGCCAATTTGCCAGTGGTACCGCCTTTGAACGGTAATGGTGACAGTACGTTTGTAAAACCTCAAATACCCAAAGCAAGTGGTTTGCCAAGGCCTACGGGAATTCCTAGGCCTGCGTCTAGAATTCCTGGTCCTCGAAACTTAAAGTAATCAAAAATTTGCAGCAGATTAACAACTATTACTAAAAAAATCTTTGTGCCTTAAACTCCCTTCAATATTATACTATAGTAATTATTGTACACATACATATCTGATAAATTGAATATATAGTAAATTATTTGTGATAAAAATGAAAAATAATATTGTAAATTGTCCTATTTATATATATGACTGATTTTATATACATTGGCCTATAGTAGTATTGTACAATTTTATTTAGTGCCTTCTTTAAAAAATGCTTCTTATAACAGGGTATAGTACGCACATATAAGGTTGCCCATATTGTCTAAAATCAAAAAAAAAGTCTGACCCTCTATATAAATGTTTTACAATATTTATATTAATACACAAGTGTGTTAATCTTATTAATTTTTCTACTACCCTACTTGTGCTCAATAAAGAACCGTTTATTTAATACCAAATTTTGTGTTTAATTTACTTAGCTTGAAATTTCTATCAAAGTGACACATTTTATGTCATAACTTTGTTAATTTTGATCCGATCTTGATGTAATTAGGCTTAAATTGAAGCCAATTGAATTATCTACAAACCTCCTGTGGATGATTTCAATGTAGCTTCAATAGTTTCGCAGCTGCAAAATTGTGTGACTTAGATTTCTATCAAAATGAGACACTTTGTGTCATAACTTTGTTAATTTTGATCCGATTTTGATGTAATTAGGCTTAAATTGGAGCCAATCAAATTCTTCACAAATCTCCTGTGGATTATTTCAATGTAGCTTCAATAGTTTCCCAGCTACACAATTGTGTGACTTAGATTTCTAACAAAATGACACACTTTGTGTCATAACTTTGTTAATTTCAATCCGATTTCAATGTAATTAGGCTTCAATTCAAGCCAATCAAATTCTCTACAAATCTGCAAAGCTTCAAAGTCTTTTGATTTTTATCAACCTTATCAGTAAAGTATAGTTGCTTAATGTTAGATGGCGTAACGTGATAAACCTTGCCATCATGTAGACAACTTCAAATTCATAAATCATATGTTTGTGTGACACTGATGTTTTTCCTAAATAATCAACAATGTCGGCAAATAATATTGAAACCCCAAAAAGCGAACTAGAAGTGCACAGATTACCAACAGACGCTGAAGAATTTGAATTCAATGGCTGGCTTTTCAAATACACAAAATCCCATATATTACATTCTTTGTGCAGTACTCCAGAAAAATGTAAATCTCAACAGGAACAATGCCTTTTGTGTTTGTAAGCTTTATATATTTTTAATAATTATTTTGCATCAAATCTACCTACTTCATATTTAAGATACACAAGTTGTCTAGAGCTTCCTCATCTTCCCGAAATGGTATTTCCCCGAAACATTCTCACAATTGTCCACCCTAGCGGTGCCAAAATCGAATTCAACACGCTAGATGCATTGAAAAAGGTCTGCAATGGAAAACTCCCTATTCAAGTAGCTTGTTCTGTTGCCTGGAAAGAATCCAGATCTGCTGAACATTTAGAACAAAAAATCAAGCCTTTTGATTGGACTTTTAGTACCAATTATTGTGGTACTTTAAGTGAAAATGCTTGTGTTGAACCCACTGAAGAAACAATAGACATGGAAATGCTTAAGAGAAAAGAACAAATTTTGTTTTATCATGAAATGATGCTTTATGAAGATGAGTTGCATGATAATGGGATTTCCTCTTGTACTATTAAAATTGCAAGTTAAGCAATTCCAAACAAACACGCATTTATTAATGTATTTTATTTCTAGAGAGTAATGCAAAGTTCCTTCTTTGTCCTGTTGCGTTTCTTCCTTAGAGTAGACGGAGTTATGGTGCGCATAAATGATACAAGGGTGTTTCACGATTTCACTAAAGACTTTGTGCTAAGGGAGTTTACCAATAAAGAGTGCGGTGTAAACGAAGTCAAGTTACCATTGACTGCTTTTGGGGATCCTAATTTGTTATCGCCCTATATGCCATTAAGGACTTCTTCGTTAGAGAAAATCACTTTTAATAATCATTAATTATAAGACTTAATTTATTTAATAATATTGTTTTTTTTTTTTCAATTATAACTTCACACATACAACCTTTACAACTTTTAAGGTCAATATTTTGAAAACTCCATAAGCTACTATGCATGGGCTAAGGGTGACTCCTTTGGATTTTATTTGCAAATTTTCAAACTGCAATATCTCGGGAACCAAAAGCGGTACTGGAATGAAATTTTCAGGATTTGTAGCTCTTGATAAGGGCTTTCAATTGGTGTTTAGTTGAAATCGTTAGCATTTTTGGTTTAAGAGAAAATCCAGTTTGAAGTTTTGCACAAAATTTTGACTTAAGTTTCATCTTTGAGGCTCAATATCTTGGAAACTCTTTAAGTTACAGAAACCACTTTTGCACAGGTTTATAGAGAATTTAATGCTCTTTCTAATGATATATAATTGTAGGCAATTTTCTCAAAAGTCATTAAAAATATGGGCAATTATTCATCACCATGTCAAGATTTCTAAAAATTTTCAGAGCCAAAAATGAGATTTCGTTTTGGATTTTTTTTTCTCATGGAAATTTTTGAAATTGTACTGATGTAAGAGTTGTTTTTGACTAATTTGGAATCGCTTTATCGATTTCTGAAGTTTAAATTGAGAAAAATACAAAAATAAAAATTTTCAATTTTTGCTCTATTTTCCAACAGAGGTTCAATGGGAGAAATTGTGTGAGCAGTACAAGAACAATCCGGCACTTCCTGTTAAAACCTGGCATTGTCATTTACCAGTTTTTGTGTAGGAGTTTTAATAAAAATGTAATAATTAGTCTTGTTCATTCTTAGGAAACAAAATATCTCAGATACCTACTTAACAATAAATGAGTCCTTGGAGACTTTTCATTTTTCCTTATAAATAAGTCTGCAGAATCTTTGAAGTCTTTAAAAAATACTGAGAGGCTTCCTGTTCCAATTATTAGATCATCAGTTTTTAGATTCTTTATTCTAGAATCTTAAGAAACCAGTCAGAGAGCTCCCTGACTTCTCAAATCTACAGATTCTATAGATTTTTCATTCTACAAATTTAAAATTATGTTCATCTTTGAAGTCTTTAAGGTTGCGTCTTGACAATCAAAATCTTTGAAGTCTTCACTCTACAAATGAGTTTTTTGGGTCTTGAGAAACTTCAAAGTCTTCAAAATCATTAGGGATCTGAATTCCTAATATAAATCAATACAGAGGCTTTAGATTCCTCTTAAAACACTTCATTTTACATTTTTTGAAGTCTTATTGATGGGGTCTACAATTTCAAGAAATAAACTGAGTTTTTGAATTTACAACTTCTAGATTTTTCATTCCACAAATTCAAAACTATGATCATTTTTGAAGTATTCAGGGTTACTACGTCTTGGCAATCATCAGAATCTTTGAAGTCTTCAATCTACAAATGAGTTTTTAGTGTCTTCAGAAACTTCAAAATACTCAGAAGTCCGAATTCCTATAAATTAACAGATGATGCAATTGATTCCTCATACTCCTCTTAAAACTCTTCAGTGTAGCATCTTTACAAACCTCTGATGAGTTTTAATTAATTTTTTTAGGTCCTTAGTCTACAATTCTCATCAATGTTGAGCTTTCTGAGTTCTTAAATCTACACTCTAAAATCACTTCAGAGTCGCATCTCACAATCTGAGTCTTTAAACTATGTAGAATTTTCATTCTTCGGACTTTTGGCTTCGAAAATAAGTCTTCTAGGCCTCAGAATTTTCAATATTTATTCTAGAAGGAATCAAGTACCGTTATAATTGAATATTTGATCAGTAGTCGAAATCTTCTCGAAAAATTAATCTACAAACATTTGCACTACAAATATATTTGTCATGATTGCCTCTAGAAAAATTATCCAGTAGATCAAGAGCCGCTAATAATCAAAATTTGAATTATTTCCGGCTTTTAAATTATTTGCAAAAGACTATAGTTCCATGATTTCAAGATTCTACAATCTCTAGAAATAATGCTGCAAAAACAAGAGTGTCTGGATTTTTCATTCTGCAACATCATACAAAAAATCCTTGGCGCATTTTTGAAGTCTCCAATGATGTGTTTTGGTAATTCTCACAATCTTTTTTAGGTCTTATTCACCTTATAATCTCAAATATATGTGTGTCAGACCTTAGAATCTTCAAAATCTCTGGGATTCCTATAAATCAAGAGGCTTCAGATTCCTCACACTGTTTTGCTTACATCTATAGATTCTAGATTTTACTTTCTACAAATTCAAGTCTTTAAAATCTTCACTACAAATGAGTGTAGAAATTTTGAAGTTTTTAGAGTCGCATCTTTACAAATCTTTTAGACTATGAAATCTTCAGTTTTTATGGACGTTCTACAATCATCAAAATCAATAGAGTCTTTAAATTACCCATTCCACAATCTCAAAGATATATGGATTGTCATGAACAGACTATATACTTTGACACCAAATTATGAAGGTGTTAGAGTTGTTTCTGACTAATTTGGACTCGCTCTATCAATCTCTGAAACTGGAATTGCGAAAAATCCAAAAATAATTTTTTAAAATATTTTGGACTTTTTCCTAAGGGTAACCCCTCTGAATTTTTATTTGCAAATCTTCAAACTTGAATATCTCAGGAACCAAAAGCGGTACCAAGACAAAATTTTCAGAATTTATAGCTCTTGATGGGGGCTTTCAGATGGTATTTAGCTGAAATCGCTAGCTTTTGCAGTTTTTGAGAAAATCGAGTTTGAAGTTTTGGACAAAATTTTGACTAAAGTTCAACTTTGGAATTCGATTGCTCATGAACCCGTTGAGGTACTGGAACCAATATGGTACAGTTTTGAAGAGAATTTAATGCTCTTTCCAGTGATGTATAATTGTAGGCAATTTTCTTAAAAGTCATTAAAAATATGGGCAATTATACATCAGCATGTCAAGATTTCGAAAAATTTCCAGGTACAAAATGTTTACAGTTGTCCAGGAACACTAAAATAGACTCCAGTGGACTATATTTTCTGAACAATAACTGGAACAACCAGAATTAGATATTCACTGAAAATCCATTTGAGTGTCCACAATTGTATTTGAAAAATCGTGGCTATATTATAAACTGGGACATCCATATTGGACTATATTTTCAGGACAAAAACCTGAAACTGATACGCAATGGATGGAAATCTATTCAGTATTCATTAATGTACATAAAAATCGTGGTCATGAAATGGACTATATTTTCTGGACAATAACTGAATAGCTAGAAACGGGGATATGCAGTGGAAATCCATTCCTTAGATTATGTGTCCACAAATGTATATAAGAATCGTGGTTACCTATATAAACTAAACCTCCATGGGACTATATTTTCTGGACAATAATTGAACACCCAGAAACAGATATGCAACACAAATATATATTAAAATCATGCTCAGTATTCAATAACTGGACTATATTTTCTGAACAATAAATCATTTAGTCTCCACAAATGTAGGTATACCTACCTCTGAATATAGAAATAAAAATATTGTTATATCGTGATGCATGATCATAAACTACTTTAAATTTCTATTTTTATTTTATGGATATCAAATAGGTAGGGCAAGTTTGGAGTCATGTGTGTCCAGACTAAGGTCCAGAATCGCTCTATACAGAGTGGCATATAATACTTGTAACTTTTTAATTACTTCGTATACGAAAAAGTGACCTTAATGAAAGTTGCTCAGTTAATTATATTTCCAACATTTCTTCCTAGACGAATTGTTTCTGTCACACATGGTTTGTTAACTATCCAGAGCAACTGTGTTTTTTCAAATGGAAACAGGATGTTCCATCGGGTCACTCAAGATGTAGGTACTACACTACACACAATCAGCCCCCTATCGCGCTCTCAAAATAATACATCAAATGTTCCACCAAAGCAAATTTTCCTAAATTATTCCACTAGTTTCGATCTCCAGCAATTGCCCTTCCAAGTCAGGTGAAAACCAGTACGAAACCAGTAAAAACCAGCTCAAAACCGCGTAGTGAAAGCTAGCACAAAATATGGGGGATGGTTGTGTAGTAGTATCTTGAGTGACCCGGTAGGAATAGTAGGTAGTTTTGGCTTAAAAGAGAGACGAAACAAAGATACACTTCCTCTACCACTCAAAGATGTAACCATGCCCCTACCTCGCCCTCTATACCCCTACCAGGTCACTCAAAATACTACACACAGAATACATATCCTCCTTGAGGATATGACGTTCTGTGATACTACACACAACCATCCCCTTTATGTTTTATGCTGAATTAATTTTGCTGGTTTTGTTCTAGATTTTGCTAGTTTAGCTGGTTTTGTGCTGTCTTTCGCTGGCTTTGTGCTGGTTTTCACTGGTTTCATGCTGGTTTTCACCTGAGTTAGAAGGAGAATTGCTTGAGATCGGGGGATAATTTAGGGAAAATTCAGATATTTGATGTATTTTTTGAGAGCGCGATAGGGTAGGGGGATGGTTGTATCTTGAGTGGTAGGGGGATTATATCTCTATATCTCTATATGTCTCGTAAACTACCTACTGTTTTCTATCTCAATGTTTGCCTGTTCCAGGCTCTTAAACTCTTCATTCCAGCTTCCTTTTAATTTAAAATCCCTGACTTATTTAGACTCTTAGAACACCTTCCAGAGACCAAATGCAAGTTGGGAAAAATTGTTTTTAATATAATATTGTTCAATTTTGGCTGTGTGGAAGTTGCATTTTGACGAGGGGTGAATCAATCGTAGTACACTTTGCTGGGAATACCTGGTGATAATCTGGGAATACTTGGAAATACTTTGAAAGTATATGGGATGAATACTCTGGAAGTAAATGGGAATAATTTGGAAATACATGGATTATGGAAGTAGGTACTTGTGAATTTATATAAGTTCCAATCCCAATTTCAATGTCTTTTTGGGCATTTTCATTAAAATCTCAAGAATTGCGTGCATGTTCTTTCTGGTTTGTTTTAGTTCAATGTTCCATTTTGTTCTGGTTCCAATTTTTTTTTTGGTCAATTGTTCCAACCCTTATATTTCGAGGCAACTGCAATAGTGACCCCTATTTTCTTATGCATTCACATAGTAATAATTCTGAGGCGAGTGGAACATATTGTAATGTATTGTATTGGGGGTGTTGCAGAGGTGGCTAAAAGTTTGAAATAATAGGGCTCAATAATCTTGTAAGGAAAAATCGAGATTATGGGCGATTCTTCCACACATAAGTTCATCGGAAGGATGAAAATCTACAACAAGCAAGAAAACATATACTCAGTCTTATAAATAAAATGTAGCAAAAATGCTTTTACTCTATCTCCGTCTTTTTTTGCTGCATTAAAATTGAATATGTTTATCTCAGAAAACTTATGCAAAAGCATAATTTGCTTCTGTTTTATTCATATGATCCATTGACTTGAATGACGCGAATGGAAAAGTACGTACATTTTTAACATAAGTTAAATCGAATTTTCCATATGTTATTTTCAGGAGCCACTCGTGAATTTCCCTTCATCCAACTCAAAACTTTAGGGCTTGTATGCGAAAATGATGGGTTACCTAAATCTGTCACTATCTAACGGTCTATAAAAGTGAATTCAAGAATTTTTGATTTGCAAATCTTTGAACTTCAATATCTTGGTATACAAAAACGGTACTGGAACAAATTTTTCAGGAATTGTAGCTCTCGATGAGGGCTTCAAAATGGTAGGTATTTAGTATTTATGGTGTTTGAGAAAATCGACTTTGAAGTTTTGGACAAAATTTTTGACTAAAGTTCAACTTTGGAGGTCGATTGCTCATGAACTCGTTGAGGTACTGGAACCAATATGGTACAGTTTTGAAGAGAATTTAATGCTCTTTCCAATGATATATAATTGTAGTTAATTTGTTCAAATTCTATTGTAGATATGGGCAATTATTCATGAGCTTGTTAAGATTTCAAAAAATTTCCATAGGCAAAAATTGAGATTTCCTATAGGATTTTTTCTTTCATTATAATTCTCAAATCTAACTGATCTAAGAGTCGTTTCTGACTAATTTGAACTCTTTTTATCGATTTCTGAAGTCAAAATTAGGAAAAATCCAAAAATAAAAATTTTCAATTTTCTGCGCTTTTGCCTAAGGGTAACCCCTTTGGATTTTAATTTGCAAATCTTCAAACTGCAATATCTCGGGAACCAAAAGCGGTACTGGGATGAAATTTTCAGGATTTGTAGCTCTTGATAAGGGCTTCAAAATGGTATCTAACTGAAATCGATAGGATTTATAGTTTTTGAGAAAATCCAGTGTGAAGTTTTGAGCAAAATTTAGATTAAATTTCATCTTTGAGGCTCAATATCTTGGAAACTCTTGAAGTTACAGAAACCAATTTTGCACAGGTTTATAGAGAATTTAATGCTCTTTCTAATGATATATAATTGTAGGCAATTTTCTCAAAAGTCATTGAAAATATGGGCGAATATTCATCAGCATGTCAAGATTTCAAAAAATTTTGGGAGCCAAAAATGAGCTTTCCTTTTGGAATTTTTTTTTGATGGAAATTTTCGAAATTTTATTGATGTGAGAGCTGTTTCTGACTAATTTGGACTCGGTTTATCGATTTTTGAAGTCAAAATTAGGAAAAATCCAAAAATAAAAAATTTAGGGTAACCCTTAGGCCATGGTAACCCCTTTGGATTTTCATTTGCAAATCTTCAAACCTCGATATCTTGGTAACCAAAAGCGGTATGTGGACAATTTTTTTATAAAATGCAGCTCTTGATAAGGGCTTTCAAATGGTATTTAGCTGAAATCGCTAACATTTGTAGTTTTTGAGAAAATTGAGTTTAAAGTTTTGCACAAAATATCGACTAAATTTCTCTCGGAAATTTCAAAAGCTACGAAAACCAATCTGGCACAGGCTTATAGAGAATTTAATGCTCTTTCCACTGATGTATAATTATGAGCAATTTGCTCAAATATAATCGAAGATATGGGCAATTATACATGAGCGTGTCAAGATTTCAAAAAAATTTCAGAGTCAAAAATGAGATTTCCTTCTGGATTTTTTATCTCATTGAAATTACTAAATATAATTGTACCCTATTTTCTTAAATTTCATCAATGTTACAGGCAACTATTCATCAGCATGTCAAGATTTCAAAAAATGTTGTGCCATGTTAGATTTTCAATTACTGGCACTTAAATCAAGAGCCGGGAATAATTCAAATTTTGATAAATCTTTGTAAAAAAAGTCTATGAATCAATGTATTATGGTATTATTAAAGAAAACAAAACTCATATTTGTTTATAATCTATTTATTCAAATCTTAAGCAATAAACTCATAAGGAATTGGAGCCAACTTGATCGCACCCTCCTTGCCGCTGACAATGTGAGAAGGCCTTGGTTGAGCAGGTTGTCTTTTCAAAACAACCTTAACATTCTTTTCTTTAGCTTCACGACGCAATTTTTCATTTAGCTTTACTCTATCCAAGAAATCCCTCCTGCACTTGGAGTGAGTTACGTGCTCGATACGGATGTTGATCCTTTTTGGGATGATTCTACCACGTACTCTGAAACAATAGTTAGAATATTAGCTTTTTGTATAGGTTGATTGAAACTTAAAGAGTACATTATTATTATTATTATTATCAGCATTACGTCCACTTGTAAAATAATGTCATGGGGAAATCAATGTAAAAGATTCATCATTGTTTAAAATCAAAAAACATTAATAAAAACACACATAAATAATTACCTTTTGTTAACAATTACTCCTAAAGCGTGTGGGGTAACGTTAAATACACGTCCAGTCTTGCCGTGGTAGACTTTGTAGGGCATGCCCTTTTGCACCGCTCCGTTGCCCCTTATATCCACAATGTCGCCGATTTTGTACACTTTCATGTACGTAGACAACGGGATGACTCCCCGTTTCTTGAACCTACGGGAGAACAAGTCCCTGGTACCGCGACGGTAACCCTTTGAGTTGGTCATTTTGTTGGTGGTGGTTCCTACACAAGAAAGTTAGGTTATGTTTTATATACATACACATGTGTGAATGGTATATTTAGGGAAATTGTCCTTGTTTTTGGGGGAAAAAGGGATTTTTGAAGAATAATTAGGATTTGAGGAGGCTATTGGGGTATTAAATTGCATATTTTTTTGAGTTTAAATAGGGAAAATTGAGGGAAATTTGAAAATATACGTACCTCGCTGTGTGGATTTGAGGAAAAGAGAAAATTTGTTGGCACTTGTGACAATTGACACTTTGTCAAATCAAGTTATAGTAGTACAACGTTGCTTCGAGAGATGGCGCTGTCGGCAAAAAATATAGTCACTGTAGCAAATATTACAGTGACTCAATATACCTTTATTTACGACTAATGTATAATGTGCGTATTATATTTGTAATTTTGGCAGTATATGATATATGTTATTCCTCCAGGGATTAATGGTCATTATTCATTATTCCACAAAAGTGTCAGTGTCAAACGTGTAGTGCTTGTGGATTTGTATTGAAAATTTTGAGACGGATGAAATTATTTGTTCATTGAAAATCTCAAATAAATTAATTTGTCGTAAATAAAGTAGAGTATACTACTCGCAATAATGGCTATTATTCCCTCGGATTCATTATTGACTCGTGGTATAATCTACTATTAATACAGTGGTATTATTTGAATTGAAGCTTTGCAGTTGCGAAACTATTGAAGTGGCATTACAGGAGACTTGTAAAGAATTCAATTGGCTTCAATTCAAGCCTAATTACATTAAGATTGGATTGAAATTAACAAAGTTGTGAGACAAAATGTGTGTTGGTGTCATTTTGAGACTTTGAAGCTCTGCAGCAGCAAAACTATTGAAGTTGTATTGAAATCATTTACAGGAAATTTGTAGAGAATTTGACTGGCTTCAATTTGAGCCTAATTACATCAAGATCGAATCAAAATTAACAAAGTTAGGACACAAATTGTCTCACATTTTGATAAAAATCTAAATTACACAATTTTGCAGCTACGAAATTATTGAAGCTACATTGAAATTATCCCCAGGAGGTTTGTAGAGAATTTGATTGGCTTCAATTTAAGCCTAATTATATCAAGATCGGATGAAAATTAACAAAGTTATGACACAAAATGTGTCATTTTGATAGAAATCTAAGTTCCACAATTTTGCAGCTGCGAAACCATTGAAGCTACATTGAAATCATCCATAGGGGGTTTGTAGAGAATTTGATTGGCTTCAATTTAAGCCTAATTACATCAAGATCGGATCAAAATTAACAAAGTTATGACACAAAGTGTGTCATTTTGATAGAAATCTAAGTTACACAATTTTGCAGCTGCAAAACTGGAGCTACATTAAAATAATCCACAGTAGATTTGTAGAGAATTTGATTGGCTTCAATTTAAGCCTAATTACATCAAGATCGGATCAAAATTAACAAACTTATGACACAAAATATGTTATTTTGATAGAAATCTAAGTCACACAATTTTGCAGCTTCGAAACTATTGAAGCTTTATCTTGTAGATAGTAAATATCAAATCAATGTCATTATATTAACACTGTGTTGAGATGTAATTGATATAGTTCCCAAGCAGCAAACTAACGCCATTTCTACGTTAATTCTACATCATTTTGGTGACGTAGAGGTATGTCTAATTTACGTCCCAATATACGTTGCTTGGACGTCACAATGTCATAGTAGAAAGCGACGTTGACTAGCGACGACTAATCGACAACAAAATATACGCCTTCTTATATGGCTTCTTAATGCAGGCTGTTTTAATGGGTCATATTGGATTTTACATGGTAACATTTTGAACCTAATGTTGGGTCAAATAAACGTCCACTATACGTATGACGTCCCAAGCAAGTCATATTTTGAAACCTCTTTTCAACGTCGAATTTTGCTATAGGTATTGACGTAAATTTATTTAAAATTGACTTCATACATCGACAAACCTTTGCTGCTTATTAGGTATTACCTTAGCAAGTTTATCTGAAGACGAATAAAACAGGCCTTAGAAGCATTTGTAATTGAATCAATCAAGTGCCTGGAATAAAAGTCCGTATTTTGATTTAATAGAGTTTATACTTTTCAGCAAATTTTTGAAAATTTTTGTCATGCTCTTCTTGAGTCTTTCCACCTACTGTGATACAATCAACGATTATACTGTCAACAAGTCTTTGAAAACTAGCAACTCCATTGGTAACACCAAAAGGAATTCTCGTGAATTGATATAGTTCGCCTCAAACGCGGTATAAGGTTTTTCATGTTTGAGAATTGGAATTTGGTGACATGCACTCTTTAGATCTATAGTGCTGAAAACTTGGTACCTTATTGACACTTTTGAAATAATGATGTCTTCTATGTTTAGAAGTGAATATAATGCGTCTATAGTTCAGTGAATTTGTTTATAGTCTGGGCATAGTTGATTACCATTCGTCTTATGATTTTTACTTACTGGAAGTGATTAAAGCTTGAGTAGGTACTTCAGTAGAGATCTATGAAGCCTATACAGACACTCAATTGAGGAAGTTTTAAGCAAGATCAACTATGATAGGATTTGTTTGTGTGGTGACTTCAATCTTCCTGAAAGCAAATGGCTGTGTGATGTTAAAGAGGGTGTCTCAGTGTTAAATGGTATTTTGCCCCAGGTTATTGTTGATTTCATGGCCTACTTAAATTTATTTCAAATGCTGTGCTGGACCTTGTTTTTTATAACTGTCAAAATGTAATGATTCATATTTGTAGTAGTCCACTATTACCATGTGACAAGTATCACCCTGCCTTTATTTTTTGAACTGTACATATATGTGGTCTGGTCAATAGGGATATAGTCTTTTGATTTTCAGTACCTATGCAAATTATGTCAAACTGAACAATTTCTTGGGATGTTTTGACTGGGATAGTATTTTGAATGTAGAAAATATTGAGAGTTATATTCTATTCTGTATTGAAATGTATATGTTCCAGAAAAAAGATCTAAAAATAAGAGGTTCCCTGGTTGGTATAGTGATGAGCTAGAATCGACTATTCTAAATAAGAAAAGGGTACCACCTACATATACTGTGGAAGAAAACACCTAATACGCAATTTAATGGGGAGTTTTGTGATTTAAGAAGACAATGTAAAATTTTGATAAAACAATGATGCTATTGTTGAATCTAGTATTTATCAATAATAGTGGGACTTCTTGGAAATTTGAACATGTGAAAAATAGTATCTATGACTTGCCAAATTGTATGAGTTTGAATGGCAAAACTATACACGAGTCCCAGGAAATTGTACAGTTCTTTGCGGAATTTTTTGGGTCTCTTTATAGAAAGATACACACTCTGGTGTTCAAGCATTTAAACTTTTGTTTTCATAGAAATTTCTCTACTGCGAAACTATTGAAGCTACATGGAAATCATCCACAGGAGGTTTGTAGAGAATTTGATTGGCTTCAATTTAAGCCTAATTACATCAAGATCGGATCAAAATTAACAAAGTTATGACACAAAGTGTGCCATTTTGATAGAAATCTAAGTTACACAATTTTGCAGCTGCGAAACTATTGAAGCTACATTGAAATCATCTACAGGAGATTTGTAGAGAATTCAATTGGCTTCAATTTAAGTCTAATTACATCAAGATGGGATCAAAATTAACAAAGTTATGACACAAAGTGTGTCATTTTGATAGAAATCTAAGTCACACAATTTTACAGATGCGAAACTATTGAAGCTACATTGAAATCATCCACAGGAGGTTTGTAGAGAATTTGATTGGCTTCATGTTAAGCCTAATTACATCAAGATTGGATCAAAATTAACAAAGTTATGACACAAAGTGTTTCATTTTGATAGAAATTTGAGTCACACAATTTTGCAGCTGCGAAATTATTGAAGCTACATTGAAATCATCCAGAGAAGGTTTGTAGAGAATTCAATTGGCTTCAATTTAAGCCTAATTACATACATCAAGATTGGATCAAAATTAACAAAGTTATGACACAAAGTGTGTCATTTTGATAGAAATCTAAGTTACACAATTTTGCAGCTGCGAAACTATTGAAGCTACATTAAAATTACCCAGAGGAAGTTTGTAGAGAATTTGAATGGCTTCATTTTAAGCCTAATTACATCAAGATCGGATCAAAATTAACAAAGTTATGACACAAATTGTCTCATTTTGATAAAAATCTAAATTACACAATTTTGCAGCTGCGAAATTATTGAAGCTACATTGAAATTATCCCCAGGAGGTTTGTAGAGAATTTGATTGGCTTCAATTTAAGCCTAATTATATCAAGATCGGATGAAAATTAACAAAATTATGACACAAAGTGTGTCATTTTGATAGAAATCTGAGTCACACAATTTTGCAGCTGCGAAACTATTGAAGCTACATTGAAATTATCCCCAGGAGATTTGTAGAGAATTCAATTGGCTTCAATTTAAGCCTAATTACATCAAGATTGGATCAAAATTAACAAAGTTATGACACAAAGTGTGTCATTTTGATAGAAATCTGAGTCACACAATTTTGCAGCTGCGAAATTATTGAAGCTACATTGAAATCATCCAGAGAAGGTTTGTCGAGAATTTGATTGGCTTCATTTTAAGCCTAATCACATCAAGATCGGATCAAAATTAGCAAAGTTATGACACAAAATGTGTCATTTTGATAGAAATCCAAGCTACACAATTTTGCAGCTGTGAAACTATTGGAGCTACATTGAAATCATCCACAGGAGATTTGTAGAGAATTTGATTGGCTTCAATTTAAGCCTAATTACATTAAAATTATCAATAACAAAGTTGTAATAATTGAAAACATGTAGCCAGTGTATTTTGTACAATATTACAAATATTAACAATCAAAAATCTTCTTCAATAAATAATTATTATTTAAAAACGATTGAGCCTAAACTAAATACACCAAACAAATAATTCCATCCTTGCTTAACAAGGCACGTTGAAAAAGATCCAATATAAACCGACTTTAGACGAGGAGTATTTTCTACTCAACATATGACTGGTTCGCTTATGTCGTTCATTTCGTCGAGCCTAGGCCAGGGCCCCAGGTAGACACAAGAGGAATTCGATGAATTTTGTCTTGTTTACGAAAAAATTCGTATTTCATATACTTAGGGCGTGTTTTTAAGTTCAAATTTCCTCGACTAAGTTTTACAAAGTATATAGACTTTTATTTTTGTTCCAGAAACTCTGACTCCCCTATTAATAAAGAGGAATAAGCTAATAATTGGTAAGCCTACGTTTTCA